GCAGAGCCTTGGCGAGATGCAGCGCTGTGGTCGAGCAAATAGCCGCAGACTCGCGAGGTTTTTTGTGTTGTTTGTTTATCTGTGGTTCATATAACTCACATGCCCCAAACGAGAGCAGAGCTGTACTCCCTGCTCAATCTCGTTGAATAACTGGAAGACTCCTGTCTCTCTGCAACCCCCCCCCCCCCAGTCCTGAGCTGTTGCACTATGGGTTAGCGCTGCAACTCAATGGCAGTGAACCCGAAATTTTCATTCCTGCAAACACTGCGCCGTTCTCAGGCGCTGCATGCCCGGTTGCTGCAGGCTCGAAACAGAAAAGTTAGTTCTGTTCCGAAGGAAGCCTCAAGGCACTGTGCAGATTCGATGGTATAGTAACACTACCTCTGACAGCAGATGTTTGACTTTAGTCAAGAAGATCAACAGGATCATCATGAACTTCCTCTTTCCGGTAGCTGTGGGAGTGCCGGCCAGACGAGATTCTGTAGAGCTTGACGCCTTGGGGCTAAACGGATTTTGAGGGTCATGCTCCGTCATGCCTTTTTGGTCTGTGGTGAGGCTACGGCCGTCTCATACAGCACTGTGGGCAGTGCGTGCAACAAGGACGCCGGGCTGAAATGCTGATTCCCGAGACGTTCAACTCCCAAGACCCCACAATCCTGAATTAGCACATGCACTCGCCGAGACACAGATAGGTGTTTGCATCGAACTGGAACAAGCATATTTTCAGAATGTGTCACCTGCCCTGCAGCACGGTATTCTCTTCTCGATATCTGTACCAGGAAGTATGACTCTGCTAAGATTGGAGCCCTCGGACGTCAAATCCTCTTGACACCCAAATGCCAAACCTCAGGGTCAAGACAGAAGGGCCTAAATCCTGAACGGTGGGATGTTACACCCTGACTCCGAGCCATGAACGAAACGCAGGAGCCACAAGTTCCAAAACGATCATCCAGAGCCTCGCATTCGTCTTCCAGAAGCTGAAGCCACAAAGCCCAAGCCCAAGCCCGAGGCGTCAGAATGGCGTGCAAGTCTGATGGTCTGCCAATCCATGTCGGAAGCGAGGACAGGCCTTGGGGCCTCGTCTTTCTGTGTTTCTGTCTAGGTCTTGTTCTTTGCAACCTGGCGCTAGGACTCGTTCTGTGCAACCTTGATCCTACTAGGACTCTTATAAAAAAAATGAGTTTGGGGGTCGGGGTCTCGGACTTGCAAACTGTACGGATAGATAGCCTGCCGTGAAAAACGATTCAAACACTATGACCTCGTGCGTGGCAGGCCTTTGCGGCAACACTAGTGCAACTGAGCGGTTCAGGGTTTAGGTCTTTAGGTTGCTCTACCCTCATACTTCCCCTAAGACGGTTGCCTTCACCGCCCGGATGCCATGAAGAGGCACGCGACGGTTCATGTTGATATGTCTTCTTGAGAAACTCATGTTGGAGCCCGTTGCAGTAAGCTGCTCTCCAGGAAGCAGCGGGCTCGGAAATGGCATTGCAGATATCTCTTTCCCCAGTTCACCATGTCATGTCGAAATTCATTCCCAGACGGGCCAGGGCGTGGGATTCTGCTGTCCCACTGGGTACGGGCTATTGAGAGAGATGGAGACACCTCAAAACACCAACCCGAAACCTCCAGGTATCCTAATCCAGTAACTGTCCAGTAACTTAGACTGGACGAAACCGTCGACCAGGATCCGAAGAGACACGGTTAGCTTCAACGTCGCCATCACAGCGTGCGCAAAAGGTGCCTCTGATTGCCTTCTGGCCTGCCGGGCTTTTGGCTACAGCCGCTACTGCACGTTTGGTGTTTTCGTTTGGGTGTCTAGGGTACATGGACTGGGGGGCACTTTGGGTTCAGGATTTCCAGATGTTCAGGCTGGTGTTGGTTTGAACTTCTGCGCTCAGGATTGATGTTCCGGGAGCAGGGCGCAGGCTCTATCAGTTTTTGTTTGTAGTTGTTGTTCGTGACTTGTATATCAGTCCTCCACTTCCGAGTGTCAAAATCTGGAGTCGACAGCGCAACGACAGGACGATTTTAGGTGCTACTTCTGCCAAGCTGGTCCTAGCAGCCGTGAGAGAGAGAGAAAAGGGCCTTGTTTCTTCCTTCTGCAGCAAGGAACGGTCTTCCAAAGCCAGGGATGGCTGAAAGTAAGAAGCTTCAGGGCTATGGGTACCGGAAAGGCAATATCTGAGTTGGAGCAGCGCCCGAAGCCATTCCCAGATCCTGTAGATCAACCTTGCTCGATGGCGTGTCTTCTGAATGAGATCCCAGGAAGCTGTGTATCACAGCGAACCCGGTCTGGGTTCCTCATTGGAACCTGCTGTCCTCTCATTGCACGTCCGAAAACATCCGGGCACTACCATAGTTTTCTTGGGAGTTACAAAAGGCTGGTGCCCAGACTTTGTGCGCCTGCCCTAGCTTGGAGCGCGCGACACAGCAGATTGTCTCGAATGCTTCAGATCCAATGGACAACGAGTACTTAGCCATATCTCTACACACCTTGTTTGATTAGTCGGATACCTCTGAGTGCGAATTCTAAAGGCAGGTTTAGACTGCCGTTTAAGCGACCCTTAAGGCCGGAATCCGAAGTCGCAGACCCACGAGCCAGAAGCACAGGATCGCTGTGGCACTCTGCGACGAAACTGCTCAATACTATGGGTGAGCTCAAGGCCGTCGTGCGGTCTGTGCTGCCCTGTTAGGCTCCAGGTTGTAGGAGTGGGGACCCTGTGCATGTCTGCGGTGTCCGCGTGTTTTGACACAACGAGTCCGTGTGTTTGCGCACCGCCGTTGGTGCATCTCTGAGTCTGCAGATCATGAGTGATGATACCAACATAGCAGATAGCGATCCAGACTGAAGGGAGATAACGGGTAATGTTTCGCGTCAGCTGTAAGCCCCTCTGCAAACCCTTATGCCGCTTGGAAGTCTCCACCTCTCCGTATCCTCTCCGCCGCCACAGGCCAAAGCCGACGTGGTCACCGGGATTGCATGCATTCTTCTGGAAATCACATTCTCATATCGACAGCACCAAGCTGCACCTGCATCAGCATTTTGCGACGAGCCACGATGCACCTGTCATGTTGTTCGACAAGGCTTGGTTTCATGCATTGACACACTGTGCACAAGGTTGCAGTGTTTTCTATTTGTGATTGCACGCTACACTAGGACTAGGTTCCGGCTCGTGGGTTTGTGGACTGGTCAGATCGGTAGGGGTTTCCCATCTGGCGATACTGCCTTGACCGATGTTTTTCTCAACGGGAGGGGCCCTCAAGCTTTGGTGTGCAGCATTGGGTGTGAGTGAGACATTGAGAAGAAGGGCCGGCACCCGTCTCAGGTTCAGGGTTTCATCCGCAATGAACATGAGCACTGATGGACTAGACGTGCCGCGGGCTTGCCAAGTAGCAGAGTGCAGGCCTGCATGCAACGCCAAAACAAGACCACGTCCTGGACGTGTAACCTTCGACCATTGACCTTTCAATGTTGCCTGTGCGCCTGTCTCCCTCAATAGCCAAGCTGTCTGGCAAAGATATATTATGTAGGTATCGTGAGTAGTTGAGTCTAGCCCGCGGTGGTATCTTATTCGAAAGCACCGCCGCCGCTCCCGCGCCCCACCAACACCAGCCACCGCCGCCACCACCACCACCACTACCAACCCCCCCAACCACCACCAAAACCACCAGCAGCAGCAACAGCACGACCACGACACCGCCATCACCGTCATCACCGCGGCAACAACACGTAACCATGATGGCGATGACTTCGTTCATGCCAATGTATCAAGGTGCATTGCCATTAAGGTGCAGATATACTGCTGTTGAAAATGGCGCTGGTACTATTATGGGTCAGTAAACATGGAACATGGCCGTTAATGAAGCTGCAGCTGCTGCTGCTGCTGCTGCTGCTGCTGCTGCTGCTGCTGCTGCTGCTGCTGCTGCTGCTGCTGCTGCAGTTAAAGATGGAGATGACGATTATGAAGTTGAATGTGAGGATTTTGTTGGTGATGAGTACGAAAGTAATGATCATCTTGTTGATTGCTGGGCAGTAGGCTGACAATGGTGATGATGATGATGATGGTGATGTTGATAGTGATGAGGATGATACTGATGCTGAAAATGATGATGCTGGTGATAATACGGGTGATGATGAGGATGTTGATGATGATGATGGTGATGATGATGATCATCATCATAGTCTAGTGATGAAGCACAAGAAGGCTGACTATTATGATGATTATGATAACGATGATAATGTTCACGATGACGATGGTGATGATGAGAATGGTGATGATGATGATGATGATGATGAGGATGAGGATGATGATGAGGATGAGGATGAGGATGATGATGAGGATGAGGATGAGGATGATGATGATCAGGAGGAGGATGATGATGATGACCATGATGACCATGATGCTGGTGCCGGTGCCGATGCCGGTTCCGGTGCCGGTGGTGGTGGTAGTGGCGGTGGCGGCGGTGGCGGTGGTGGTGTTGGTCGTGGTGGTGGTGGTGGTGGTGGTGGTGGTGGCGGCGGTGGTGGTGGTGGTCATACTAGTAGGTGATTCTTGTGTAGCTCATGCTGTGAATCGGATGACACATCCGACCGTGTTGGTGATGGCAGCGATTGTAGTACTAATGTTCTGGTTTTTGTTCATGATTACGATGATAATGATGGTGGTGATGATGATGATCGACTTTGTCATGTTGGTGAAGCTGCTGATGTTGCTGGCAGCAGCAGCTTTGATGTTAAGGTTGCTGATGTTTTGTTGTTGATGACAACGGTGAGGAGGTGGCGGAGGATAAGGCTGAGGGGTCAAGGCAGCAGGGCGACAACAACATGGTGATTACCATGTTGAAGGTGGCGATGATGATAAAGCCGAAGATCACCATGATGGTGATGACGATGATGCTTGTTTTGGTACTGGTATTGATGATGCTGATTTTGATGCTAGTCATATGTTCATCTCTTTCAACACGCTGTGTGGTTGATACGGGTGTGCCTTCGCCGACACATGGTACAGACTTCGTTCAATGAAAGTCCGAACTGTGTGCTCTTCATCTTGTTTTCCAACTCCGTGCTAGCTCGGCTCTCCTATTCTACTACCCAGGTCAGCTTCAACTCCTGCATCAGCTCGTTAGCCACTTCGGGCGCTTGGGAGAAGGCGAATCAACCAAGTGGAATCCTTCTAAACTAACAGTCGGAGCTCCTTGTTTCTCCATGACAGTCCCGGGTTCATGCCGTCCCAAATGCAGATGTTGCTATTCCCGAGGCGAGTCGTTGTAGTTAAGTAACGTGAAGAGCATTGTAATTCCCCGGGCAAAGTGGGACATCCCGCGGCCCTGAGCCAACGTGTCCCTCTTGCAGCAGGCACTTGCCGTCGTCGCGGAAATGTCTCAGGCGCGTGGAACTGGACTTTTGAAACCCTGCCAGATCTGAAGCGGTGGGAGATCCGTATAGCGGCCGTTATCATCTTGCTCGTCCGAACAACATTCTCACCATGCCCACTGCAAGTGCATAAACAAGAAGGTAATCAGGTTTTGCGTGCTGGGTATTTGTTGCTCAGTCGGTGAAAGTTGCTCCCGAATGCAATTAGCACGCTCTTTCTGAATGCTGAGCTATCGCAGTACTTTGCATACTGAAGGCAAAGCTTCGTGCAAGAGCGATAGAAACAAAGGTAGCAGATAGATGGAACAACAGACAGGCAGACAGACACAGACAGACGGACAAACAGACAGATAGATAGACAGACAGACAGACAGAGAGACGGACAGAGACGGACAGAGACTGACACAGACAGACACAGACAGACACAGGCAGACACAGACAGACACAGACAGACACAGACAGACACAGACAGACACAGACAGACACAGACAGAGACAGACAGACACAGACAGACACAGACAGACACAGACAGACATAGACAGACACAGACAGACACAGACAGAAACAAACAAACACAGACAGAGAGACAGACAGAGGGGTTGTTGTCTGGATCCGGACAATTGTGCGAGCGGCAATAAGCTGCAGCACGGGGGACAGACCCGGCACCAGCCCTTGTTAAGGATGATGAGGCCGGGGGTTGCAAATATGTTCATAGGGTGTGGGGTCAAGAGTTCACACCGCAGGCCGCAGGCCGCATCATTTCTAAAAAGGACTCAAACGACAGGAACCAGGGCGCGTGGGCGCAGGGGGAGTGAGGTTCGCTCTGCTTTTGATTGGCTGTGCAGAAGAAAGACAGACAGACGGACTGACAAACGGACGGACGGACAGGACAGATAGACAGACACGGACAGACAGACGGATAGATAGATAGATTGCTGGATAGATGGACATGTAGGTAGGCAGGCAGGCAGCCAAGTAAGCAGGGACAAATGATGCAGGTTGCCTTGCGACCCGATGGCACGACATTGGGCGCCGCCTTCGCCTTAACGTCACAAGGTAAGCTGCTGTGCTGCGGGGGTTGGCAAGGGTCTGGGTTGGTAGGGTCATTGGCCATAGGTTCTTACAGGGTTCAGAATAAATACATCAACAGACAAGGTCTACAATCAACGATCAGAGGGCTTGGATTCGTGTTTTGCCGAAATCTGGATGGACTCTTCCCTGAGCGTGGGGTATGTCATGTCTGGAGCAAGGCTTCCGTACTTCCGTGTCCAGTAGTCCTGCAGCTTGCAAAACGAGTCAAGACGGAGGTAGCAGCGAGCCGAGCCCTTTCAGAGGCTTTCCTCGATTGTCCTGAATGTTGCCGGTCGCCGGGCGAAAACTTCGACCCAAGAGTCCTGTAGGGCGCACCACAAACACACTGTTCCAACTAAGCTCTCAACCTACCGTATTGTTAGTGCACCCGATTTTGACAGTTGTCCCGGATACTGCAAGGCTTGATGTCCATTTCGGTTCGAATTTCTAGGCAGAGCCCTTCTCTTCGGGGCTCAAAGTTCCAATCACCTTGACATCGCTCCCGATTGGCATCCATTGAACCGCATCAAAGCAGGTCAGCCACCAAACAGTTGATTTCAGCGTGAGTGCACAAACATCGTGTCCATTTGCAACCCTCAACACCGAGATGCCGTGACCGACGCGTCACTCAATCCAGACGTTTGCCTGGCCCTCTAAGTTCGTGAGCGTCTGTGCGACGGCAGCGCAATGGACGCTGGCGCTGGCATTGCTGTGAGGGCCTTAGACGCCCTGGGTTCCCGTAGTCAGCATGTGGGTGCTTCGGGATGCGCGGGGGAGTTTGGGACATCTAGGAGGTTGAAACACAGAATGCCGGATGTCGAACGTCGACTTGGAGTTGCAGCCGCTTAAGACCTTGACTGCTAGTAAAATGCTACTCAATACTTTAAACTGGGATATATATGGTACGGCCACTTATGTGACGCAAATGTTTAGTCAGGGCTCGGTCATATGTATTCATGTAGCTGATAATAGCTGATACTTAACTTGAGTTTGCGATTGGTCATGACTTGACGCTATGTACAGAAGTGTCATGATAAGGGTTCAGCGCATCTTGGCTGTTGTTACTCTCTCCTTCTCAAGGTAGCATTGCTTTTCGATATCTAAACGATGAGTAAATAGTTGCTGAACTACTACACCTTGTACGAATAGTTGTGTAGCCGTTGTACTGTATGGAACAATCGTTCACATTTCTCATCGACATTGTCTGATTATTTAGATGCCATGCTATCTGCAGCCTGCATATTCATTGTTTAAACACACCGAAATTTGTTGACATGGTTTGTATATTGATGTTACACTTGTTGACAATATTAGGTCTACACCAACTACAAGATAAGTAAATATGATTGCATGCTATTCAAGCATCAGCTTAGCACCACGTATCTACGGTTTACAACGAACGAACAAGTCTCAGCTAAAAGTTAACCAGATAATGCTACGACGGAAAATCATGAGTTGAATATTAAGTACTTATGAGAAATTGAAAACGGTATGTTAGATTAACTTCGATATTCCGTAGAGGCAGAGGCACATGCATTGCGAATGTTATTGCACATTGGGGATAGTAGCCAATGCTCACCAGCTGTAGGGTGAGAGATGAATATGTTAGTGATATAAATATAAAAATAAATATAAATAAATATAAATAAATAATTATATATATATATACATATATATATATATCAACTATACTCACCCGGCCCTGCATCGTCTAGAAGTACCAGCTCTCAAAATTCCTACCTGCAGCTTCTCTAGTCCAAACCTTTATGAGAACGTCATCTTTGGAACAAAGTTGCATTATATTGGGATCGTTCGTGATTTGCACTAGATCGAAAAGCCGCACGCAAACCCCCAGTACGCAAGCGCACAGGACGCATGCGCAGCCACAGAAAGCAGAATTCCTGCAAAATCCAGAAATCCAATATTCTGACGGAGATGTCAGAACCAATTTTGGATGTGTTTGTTTTTGGATTTCCATGAGAGTCTAAAAATCCAAAATTCAAAAGATCCAAATTCCAAAAATCAACAAACTCAACACGAGTTCTGGCATCTCCACGAAGCTTTTGGATCTTTCGGATTTTTCAGGAATGGTGCCCGTTGGTAGAACGTGCTACTTCCGAGGGAACAGTGTTTTGCTCTTTCGGTTAAATACGGTCGAAGCTCAAGCTACATGGGAGGGATGGGTTACCGGAAAATGACCAGGCATGCGAAAGTCTGAGACGTTCCTTTAACGCGAAACAGAAATGTGGGCACTTGTGGGGGGGGTTGCCATATATATGTGTATATACAAGTACACATTGTATTTACACTCGCCCCGCTCCCTCGGCCCCACCAACAACAGGATCCACCACATGGGTGGTTCATGGAGGCATGGGGTGATCGTATTCTTCACAAACTTTTCGAGACCGAACACTGAAACTCACGAATCACTGCAATGCCAGAAGGCGGCGTCGGGCTTCTTCAAAATTTTTGGATTTTTACATGACAGCGTTTGGTTGGAAATGTTGGAGTTTTGAACATCACAGGGTTTCGTGCCCTGAACCTGACATCACACTGTACTGCTCAAAAACCTGTCAAAATCCCCTTGTCACTGTGACAGTGTTTCGTGAGTGTCAGGGTTGGAAATGCTTAGATTTTTGAGCATGACAGTGTTTAGGTTCAGGACACGAACCACTGAAATGTTCAAGTGATCGTGAGCTGGTCTTGAGTTTCAGGGTCGGAAATGATGGAAGCACATTACAGTGTTTTGTGATGTTCGGCACACGAAACACTGTAATGCTCAAACAGTTCCAAACCTTTCAATCTTAAAGCTCACGAAACCCTGTAATGCTCAACAGGTTCTAGAACTCCCAGATTAAAAGAAATCTGCCCCCGGCGTGGCCATGGATGCCACCGTTCTAGAAGTTTTGGAGTTGTTTGAGCGTTACAGTGGTTCGTGAGTTTCAAGGTTGGACTTGTTAATTTTTTTGAACAGCAAAATGTGTGGTGACACTCAGGACACGAAACTCTGCAACGCGCAAAACTGTGCAACGAAGCCGCAATGGCGATGTCCAGGACAGACATGCTGTAGTTTCCCAAACATTCTTCACAAATCCCCAAGCGGCCCAAGCGAGTGGTTGGATCGAGCTTCATTGTCAGTCACCGTGGCAACCTATACGCAGAAACAGCGGCTCATGAAAGATATGTGCAATCTCGCGCTTACACTGCGCACACCTACTATCTCTCTGAACTCATGGTTTATCGAGGACACGGGTCTCTCAGACAAAGAGGACATGTTTGCGAGTACATTTTCTGAACGGCTGTCGATGGCTTTTCTTCTCTGCAACGAGCCGCAGACTTCCATTACATAATTAATTCTGATTGGAGCTGCCTCGCTCATCTCCTGAATTTTTTTTACCGATCGCTCTGTCCATGGCTGCGGTTTGGTGCCATAGTTCCTATCACAAGATAACAGGAGCTGTTTTCAGTCTTCAAGGAACAAATGTGCATTTTTTGATTTGGTCTGAAGCAGCAGGATTTTCATAAAGGGGAGCCATCTTACATAGTCTTATTTATTTAGTTCATTTAGTTTGACTTCGTTTTGAAGGGGTAGGAATGGTAGGAACTCTCATATTTTCCTAGTAGCAGGAATTATCATTCACTCTTCTTGATGCTGTCTCATATCGTGGAAAGAGATGCCGATCGCTATGCCCAATGGCTGTTTCCTCATAGTAGCTGTCATAGACCGTCTCAAAACATAAACAGGAGCTCTCTACAGTCTTCGAGGAATAACGATGCCACGTTATGATGTTCCTCCACCAGGATAGGGAGGTCGTGACGTTTGATTGATGAGTATGACGAGGGCCATCGTATTTCATTTTTCTTCATATTAGAGGATTGTAGGAGCTCGCTTGTTTTTGCCGTCAAGGAGCCTTCTCTTGCTCTATCAAACTGCGGTTTTCACTCACAGAGCAGCTTGTTCATTTCTTATGAGGTTTATGAGGGATTGCAAAGCTGTTGGAGTTGGGGTTCAACACGAACAGCGCTTGATTACTCGGTTTCTCTCGTCCAGAACGGAAAGGATCTCTCTGTGTCTTCTCATTCTGAAGAACCAAGCTGGGGTCGGATGCTTCACGTGGAGCGGCAAAGAGATGGCCCACACATCTATTCGCAAGAGCGCATGGAGCAATTTCTTGGAAAAGATTACTTCAAAGCAACTCACAATAAAACGCAAAAAACACAAGGATCACATTCCAGCAGATTGAGCTTTCCCAACAAGTAAGTTCATATATATATATATATGCTACCCCCCCCCCCAGAATCCGCACTTTGAGTGCTTATACGCACTTATGCATCAGTATCGTGCTATTCCAACCGCAACCTACAGCCCCAAAACCCCAAAAAACAGCCCCAAACCCCGAAGGACACAGATGCCACGAGGCGTGGCGTGGTGTCACCTGAGATGGG